AAATTAAATGTAGTACTAATTTGTGGGGATGGAACTCTAGAGATAGAATAAAACAGTTATAGAATTATATATGCCAAAAAACAAAACAAAAAAAAAATGTGATTTATGGAAACAATTTATCAAAATGAGTTCTGAGTGGAATGGAGGCTGGAGGTATATATAGACAAAGAAAAAAATTAATTAGCAATAGCAATAGCTAGAATCAACGTGCCTTTTTACTGATCTATGTTAAATACTCCAACTCAAGCTCAAAACTACAAGTTTGAACTTCGAAGGTGTTGAGGAAGGACTAAAAAGCGCGGCATCAGAATTCACAGAAAGAAATCAAAGGAAAAAAATTTGGACAAAATAAAAAGATCAAAGCTATATATATATATATATATATATATATACATTCAATTCATTTGACATCAACAAATGTTGACTTCATCAGAATTGAAGAGATCCCTTTATTCTTTGTTCTCGCAATATGGAAGAATCCTGGATGTTGTTGCCTTGAAGACCCCAAGCAGCCAAGCTCCGTGGACAAGCATGAATTGTTTTCAGTGAACTGACGGCTGCCACTAATGCATTTCGACAAATGCAAAATTTCCCCTTCTATGATAAACCCATGGTCAGTCTAATGCAAAATTTCCCCTATTTTGTATCGCTTGCAACTGTAATCAATTCTGTATGCTTTTATGTATAATGTTAGTGCATTGATGTTTGAATTTGATTGTTTATATGATTAATTTGGTGCAGCGGATACAATATGCGAAAACAAAGTCAGATTGTATTGCTAAAGCGGTGGAAGCTAAGTTCCAAGAGAAACGAAGAAGAAGCAAGAAGAAAAGGGTGACCAAACTCACAACTCTAGTGGTTGTTTTTACACTATATTTGAAAATGAGTATTAACTCACTTTGTCTTTGTCATACTGTCATGGGTGTTCAGATTCTAGCTTACTTGCTAAAGGTTAACCTTATCTAAGAACATTTTACCTTTCTTTTACACCTGAGAAGTGTTCTATGTACTTTTGACTTCACTGTTGACCCCTCATGTATCTAAAACAACGAGGAGAACTGGATTGTTGGATCCTCTGCCTTCTATGAATTTTGTGGAGAGATTTTAAACTCATTTGACTGACATTTTTTATTATCTGATATGACCTGGATTTTAGCTAAAAGGAAGCGACGTGCTGAAGAAGCAGCACAATCTGCTATGGCTAATGTGGCAGCTACTCAAACTAGTAGAGGTCTAAATGTAAGTTTGTTGAATTTATTCTCAATTAATGGTTGCTTCATCCTTCCCTAAAAAATGCCTCCTTTTCCTTTTTTCCGTTG